TTATAAGCCTTTAATCGAGAATGGCGTAAACGCCTGCATAAGTCGCAAGCTGAAAAAATAGCATCACAGGGTATCTGAGAACGCTTAACCTCTCCGCCTGAGAAATATTAACTATATGTTATGCTACTTAATATTTTCGACTCGTTTTTCTTTTCTCGCATTTTGACCCTTATTCAGCTTGAGTGAGCAACTTGCTTCTCATGGGTCTCAAAGCTGGGTGTGGGCTGTGTAATAAGCCGGTCTCCACATTAGACTCTATGTTATAAGCGTACTCTTAAGCAGTACGTAAATTATAAATGTACTCTTAATTGTACGAAGAACTTAAGTTTCCTAAATTTACCCTTAATAGTACGAGGAACTTAAGTTTGCTAAATGTACTCTTCATAGCACGAGGAACTTAAGTTTCATAAAATGGTTTTTAATGGTTTTATTAATTAATACCTTTTCCATTTTACATATCAGATATTTGGACGAGGCCATTAAAAGGCCTCAGTAAAATACCAAATATAAGAGTTGGTCTAGTTCTATTAATAGGACTGTATTTACTTTCCAACTCTATTTATATCTGAATACTTCGGTAGCGAGATGGCTCAACCGAATATAGGTTTCTAGGGACTATTAACGTTACCTAGTTGATCCTCCGACAAGCCAACCAGATGTGCCAGTCTGATGAAGGCTAAGTCGGTAATTCTTGATAGTGGCAAGCTATTGGTTAAGACAATAACTAAGGACGTCAAGAGTATTTTTTCTTTTCTTTTCTAAAGATAGGATTTTATGAGTCTCTCGGATTCGCCCTAACGAAACATACCATAGTTTCTAATAGAACGACTACGAAACCTAAATAAAATCCCTTCGGCGAAAACATTACTGAGAGGATTATATATAGGCAATGTCTCAGCCTCACAATCCCTCAGAGTAATGCTGTTTTCACGAGGCATACCCAACTTTACTAAAAGTCTCATTTCGTTTATTTACTTTGATATTTACACAAATTTACCTACGCGTTTATTTATTCTAAGGCATTAATATCCCCTTAATAGACCGAATATTACAGTACATGCAACTTGATCCATTTCATAGCTTCCCAAACAAACTATCCGTACTCAGTTCTGAAGTCACTCGATCACTTATTCTACCAACATATATTGGTGATACAAAGTACACCTGTCTAGCCGCTGTCATGCCAACTAGTATTTTGAGAGTATTGTGGTGTTTATATGCGGACCATGTTGCTCGCTGCGCATCAGGGTTTGGGGGTGTGTTATAAAAAACTCCCGATATTCCTGAAAACAGGGTAATCGCGTCTTATCCACGATATCCTTTTTCAGAAAATTTATGGAAGCATAAGCGTCTTGTTTTAAGATATACAATCAGACATCGTTAGCGCCGTGTAGAATGTTCGATACTGTCTGGGACAGAGGTGCACTTGATAGGAGTGGAGTACTTCAGAAAGGTCTATGGCATCGTACTGTGATGTAAGGGGGAACGCCATTCGTAGCCGTCAAGGGCGAGAAGTGTCTAGACCTCGAAGGCTAATTTTTGGGCATATAAAATAGAAAGCATATTGATTCGAGAATTGGACTAGGTGTCTAAATAGAATACTGCCCATACCCTATAGGGATAATATTATTTATTTCAAAAATGGCAAGTATGTATGATACAATGTACGAACATATGGTATGGCTCTCATAGTCGCGGTAGTGATTCAGGAAAGATTCATGGGAAGAAGTGGTCAGTAAATTCCCGTTTGAAGCTTGGGCCAAGTGAGTCGACAATGGAAAATATGTGCTGAGTCAATTCGGGCCGGTGTTGACAAAACACTGTTACTATCGAATGTTCCATATATTCGCTTGCTGACCTACTAAGTAGAGTACCCCACCTCTGTGAACCTGTCCACTTGATTTTAGAATTTTCTAGTGTCAACATTTAGGTGTCTAAATAGAATATTGCCCATACCCTATAGAAACCTGTCAACTTGATTTTAGAATTTTCGCCCATGCTTGGTAGTCAGATAAACTTCGGAGAAAAACCTAGTTAGGAGGTAGTCCCTGTAGGATAGTAACGTTGGCGCTATGTACAAAATTTATATATACTTTGTTCAAAAAAAATAAAAATTGTAGCATCCTGCCGCTGCCACTGCCCGTCCGCCGCCTTTAGTCCCCTGCTGAGACAGGCTGGATGATCGTGTTTTCAGTCTAATAATATAGTAAATATAAAATACACATGAAAGAAAGTTATGAACGCAAAAGTCTAGTTTTAGTAAAGAGGGCCGGTTTAAAGAATGACTTGCCGGCTTAATAGACGGAGACGGATGTTTTCAACTTTCAAAAAAAGGCTATGGAGTTATAGACCGATTCAGGCGATTCTGGTGGTCCTGGGGCTGGGCCTGGTCGCCTGGACAGCTGGTCACCTGGGCTATATTTATTTGTGGAATTTTGTATTTTTTTAAAAGAGATGCTCTCATAGAGCCATCGGGACTCTCCTGAGTTGTTTGCTCATTTTGGAGTACAAAAGTTTGAAACCAAAGCATATATTGTTTTGGGGTTTTTAGAAAAAGATAGAGAAAAAAGTAAAGTAGCTCACAACTTTTGGGATGGGGACTTGGGGCAGGAAGTTTCTTAATTTCAAGTTTGGAACCTACAGTCCTACAGTCCTACACTGTGTCTGGAGATGACGAAGGGAGTATGTATTCATTACTACAATTTTTAATATATATATAGAATAAAAACAATATAAAAATTGCGCTAGCCAGTGGACTGGAGTTGGATGCCAATATTTAGTATCTCCGATCCCCTGAAGAATATAAAAACGATATACTTTTTTCACTGTGACGCGGCCTGTATACATACAAATACGAGGAATAAATAATAGTAATATATATATATATATATATATATATATATATATATTATTATTATATATATTATTATTATTTATTTATTATTATAATATTATATATATATATATATATATATATATATATATATATTATTA